TGTGGTATAGTTTTCATTTTATATATTATTTGCTGGTTTTTCTGCGTGTTAAAATTTGTGCAAAGAAACACTGCAAAAAGGTAAGAAAAAAAAAAAAATTTTCCTCTTAGACAACGACAATCATACATACATACGCACATAGATCGATATAAAATGTAAATGTTTATTAAGAAAACTATATAAATAACAATATTTACATACAGTGTCTCTCATAAGTATTCGAATTTAGGTAAACTATGAAAAGAAACCAAATTTAATAATATCCCTACAAGCAAGAAGATACGAAAACGATACGAATTCGTATTGCTTAGAAGAAAAAAATTATTGCGGCAACAATCATATTCGTATTGCGGAAGATACCTCCATCGGGAGAGATTGTGCGGCCAGGGGGATACTTCTAAGCAATACGAAAGCAATACTCCTAGAAGACAAAAAAGAGACATTGCTAGATAATCAGCATGGTGAAAATAAGAAGATATCTTCAGATAATCGTCTGGAAGATATATTGGAGATATTCTCCTATTATCTTTAGGAAGAAAAGTATAAGAAATTAAAAAATTGGCAATTTGAAGAAACATTTATTAGTGTTAGCAATAAAATATTACAATATGGAAAATATATTAATATAAATATGCCAAATTAACGTTTCCCCAGCACAATTTTGTTTTACCCACAGGAAGATTCTTTTAATATTGATTTCTTTTAAGTACTCTGAAAACCAAAACATCATGACTATCCATTTTTTATGTGAAAATAAAGATAAACTTACATTTTTCCAAGCATAAATTACCATTGTAATGATGTCGTCTTGATTTATCGCGTATTAACTTATTGTAGTAAGATTTATTTAAAAAAATTAGTTTTTTTCTTATTTTGAAAATATTTTGAAGTTTGAAAAAAATATTTTTATTGCTATAATATCATCTATGCGATACCATAACGATATCCTAAACGTATTGCGTAGGATGAAAATCCTCTTACAGAAATAAATACAACAATTTGGCAACAAAAAATACTTTACAAAATCAAAAAAATATTAATTTAAATACTTTTATTGTTTATTGCCGATTTTACTTTTAAATATTAACATTGCAATATCAAAAAAATATTGCTTGGATGATTTTCTTCCAAATTATAAAAATTTAATATTGATTTGATATCTTCTATGGACGATATCTTCCAAATGTTTGTAGGGTATATTTTGTGTGCAAAAAAATAAATTAATTGTTATATTGTCTAGACAGTCCTTAGGTTTGATATCACGCTTTTTAAAACTTGAAAACAAAGAATAAATAAGAAATGAAACTGTTGTCAAAAGTACCTAAGTCTACTGTCATCCGGTACCTAACTCTAAGAATGTATTAGTAGAATTCTCAAGTCAACATAGTTGCAAAAAATAGTATTGAAAAATATTGAAAAAAAATTATTACATTTCAATTTATACTTTGAAAGGTTTCTTAAGATAAATTGCACATATTTTATCTATAAACATTTTATAAACACGTCTATTTGTTTTTTAATCTATAATATTGAAAAAATAAATTATTTATTTGAAATATCTTTTTCGTTTACCATACGAAAATTTACAACATTGTTTTTTTAGTTTTAATTTCAAACAACAAAAATTCAATGTCAAAAAACAAAAAATATTTTTTTTTTCGTTTGTAAAAAATATATTATTTTCGGGCTATTAAATGTGTTTAAATTGTGCAAAAAAATAATAAAATATAATGTTAAGTGATAAAAAATATTTCAAAGTGCTATTATCCTCAAATTTTCGCGAAAAAGTTTTGAAGTTTGGAGAGAGAATAAAATTTTTACATATGTGTTGGATTTACACAGCACTCGTCTGTGAGAAGAGCGTAATGTTATTGTTGTAAAAAAATGACAGCGTTTCACTTCTTGTTTATTCTTTGCTTGAAAACTTTACATTTACATAAATTAAATTAGCTTTTTTTAAAAAAGTCCATAAAATTGTCTCACAAAAGTATACGAATTTTTACTGTATTTCATATTTGAGCATATTATACGAAACACAAATTTTAAAATCGAATGGTTTTTATGCTTTAAATTGTTTTAAGGGGTTACTATCAACCGAAATGATATATTTTTGGCCCATTTGGTCCACAATTTTTGGGATTTGTACCCTCTTTTTATGTAATATCATTAAAATGGCGATTTTTGGCAATATTTGTAGTATTTTTTCTTTTTTTCCAGAGATAATACCAAAATTTGATATTGGGATTTAATAGACCCCTTGGAGTATCTAAAAATAGTATTTTTTGTTACAAGAATCTATATTTAAACGATCCAAGATATATTATTGATATCATTATTCTGTCGCTAATTCAATATATTGGAACTTAAGTCCATTTTCATAATACTAGGGTCAAAAATTTTCGGGGAAGTTTTCTTGTATATATTCTTTTAGATATCAGCTTTTATATATTTTAAGTTTTCAATGTATTGTGGAAGTGTACAACTCCAAAATATGCCTCGAAGAAACACCATTCAATATGGTAGTATCATTATTTTTATATACCAATGACCTCCAGGCTGCATGCCACAATATCATTATGGTCTAACTCAAAAATATCGATATCTGTTTAAATATTGATTACTATGATCAAAATAAACCCAAAATTTTGGACTTACAGTGTTATTGTAATGGGCGACATAAGCGTGAAAGTTATGAATAGTAAAAACTGAAATCTACTGTATAGGATGACGTTTTGTAAAGACATGTTTGGAATTGTATACCGATATAATGTATTGAAAATTTAAAATATATTAGTGCTAATATGTACATGAATGTATACTAGCCAACTTTGTCGGAAAATATCGACCCTAGTGGTACGAAAAGGGACTTAAGATCCATACAATTCAATTAGAAACAGAATAACGATACCAAAAATAAATCTTGGAACATTTAAGTACAGATCCTTACAACAAAAATTATTATTTTTAGATGCCTCAAGGGGTCTATTAAATCCCAATATTAAAGTTTGGGTTTATTTCTGAAAAAAAGGAAAAAAATTGCAAATATGGTAAAAAATCGCCATTTTAATGATATTACATGAAAATATAGTACAAATGCTCCAAAATTGTGGAACAAATGGGCCAAAAATATATAATTTCGGTCGATAGTAACCCCTTAACACAATTTTAAGCAAAAAAACACTTGATTATAATTTTTGTGTTTCGTATAATATGGTCATATATGAAATACAGGAAAAATTCGAATACTTTTGTGAGGCAATTTTATGGACTTTTTTTAAAAAAAGTCAAATCAATTGAGGTAAATGTAATTTTTCCAAATTTTAAAGAGTGTGATATTATACCATAGGACTCTCTAGACAATATAACAAATTTAATTATTCATTTCACACACAAAAAATATTATTAAATTATTTTTCTTTTCAAAGTACAACCAAATTCGAATACTTATGTGAGACACTGTATGTATTTTTCTATAGAAAAATTTTATAGAATTTTATATAGAAATTTTATAGAAATTTCCTTATAAAAATTTGCTTTGAATATTTTTCTTATAAAAAATTTCTCAGGATAGGTAGGTATAAAAAGGTTTTCTAAAAAAAATTGTACAGAATCTGATAGATCTATGGCTACTATGGATTAAACGAGATAGAAATTTGGTTTAAAATAAAATAGTATTATTATGTGGACTTATGCTATACATAGCTACAAATCTTCTAAAAAATAAATGCATTTACAGAAAAAAAGTTATTTGTATGCAACCCTGTTATTATTTTACAGCTGGGTATTTGACATTTACGCCGTAAATTTTACGCAGTACTGGTTGTTGGCTTTGCTAAGCTAATGCATTTTTGAAGCTACATATCGTCATTTGAAATGCAAAAGGGCGTAACAACACTACGGGAGAGACAAAAAATTAAATGAAACGCAATTTTACAAGTATTGTATCCCAACATCGTTAAATACGTTTGAATATAAATGTAACGTCAGACCATTGTCTGTTATGTTGCTTTTTAGGACTTTATGACTTGTGGAAATTACTTTGATGTTGTTTCGCCCTTTCGAATTTCATTTCAATGAAGCCGGTGTTTTTGACAATAGAGTTCTAAAAATTTGAAACATGTATTTTGATGCAAAAGACCAATTCCAATTTAAAAGTCGATTTTAAATTGTTTGGTTACGCCTTTTTGCACTTCAGGTGACGATATGTATATACATAACAAGAAGCAGCATTTGTTGTGAAATTTTGCAAATATTTGCCGGTTGAGAAGTTTACACCCCATCCCACGTGCAGTATTCATTTCCAGAACATTAGCAATTACGTCAGCAGAATAATTGTTCATGAACAATCCAATGTCTTAAGGTGGAGTAAACGTACTGCGTATTAGACATAACTTTAAAAAAATCACTGTGAATGGTTGAGTTTGTATAGAAACATTCTATAAATTTATATCTTAAATTGATATACATGTTTGTATTGTTTGCAGTCCACACGTCAACATATTGTGAATTAAACAATTTAATACACTTCCAACTGTGAAAAACAACTAACATTCAAACAAAAAATCGATTCCTATTAAAAAAATAAAATTAATTTTTGTACGTAACAATTTTTGCAATCTTTACTCCGTCTTAAAACTTGCACAAAGATTTTTGCAAAAAGGTAAGAAGAAAATATCTTTACATAAACAATTTATTTTGTATCTCTTATTGCAACTAAAAGTTCATTAAATTTTCCTTCAAATAACTTTTATAAAAATATGGTCACAAAGTATACAGAGATGTTATTTTTAACATTTACAAAAGTCTAAAATCAGCTTTTGTACAAATTTGTGGGAAGAGGTATATAAAATACAGCTAAAAAAATTAAGTGTAAAGTGTGGTGCGAAAGAGATAACAATAGTTTTTTTTTCTCGTGACGCCTCTGTGTTTGAAAATATAACAAGTTAGAGCGATATATTCGGATTTGCCGAATCTTAAATACCGTTCACCTATAATCTGGTTTTTTTATAAACACGTCAATTGTTTATAAAAATTTTTTAACTTCTGAAAGCTTTTAACTTCTGAAAGTTGAATAATTTGTATACACACGAACGAATCGAATTTTATTTCGAAATTACAAACGGAATGAAAAACTTATATATACCCATCTGACGATGGTGTAGGGTGAAATTAATTGAAGTGAAATTAATATTGACTAATGGCAACCCTGTTAATGTTTTACAGTTGAATATTTGACATTTCTTACATAGAATTGGTTGTTGTCTTTGATAAGCTAATCATTCTTAAGTCATAACCAACATATACATACATACATAATAAGAAGCAGCATTTGTTATGAAATTGTGTAAACAACTGCCGGCTAAAAGTTTTATTTTTTTCACTTTCAACTGCGAAATTTACTGAAAAACAACAAACATTTTAACGAAAAAATCAATTCTTACTAAAAAAAAGTGAATTTAGTCTTTCAAGTATTGGAGTGGGAATTTTTATTTTGTATGCATATTTTTACTGCGTATTAAAACTTGTACAAACATTTTACAAAAAGGTAAGAAGAAAATTGAATTCTCTTATTAGACAACCATCATAGATCGATATATAATGTATTATGTCAATGTTTATTAAAAAATTATATAGTAAATAATAAATAATTATGTATGAGTGTGTGTACGTGTAGTGTAGGTGAGTGGGGTTCTCCTGGTTAATTAAAAACCTAAATCAGCCAGCACTGAATCCAATTCAGATTGTAGATTGGAGGCCTTATAGCGAACTTGAGAAATTTCATCTTGCAAATTGTCAACATTGGCCTGCAATAGGACATTGCATTTTTTCATGGCAGACAAGCGTCCCTCATGTTTCTTGAGACGTGGTTCAAGGTTCTCCTTCTTGGCTGAATTGGGGGCATCCTGGAAATGTAACGAAAGTATATCAGTATTTGTTACAAATTGCCCAACTCGTTTTTACTTACCTCTGCTTCTGATTCACTTTCTGTCTCATTGCCACTTTCCTCAGACTCTGATTCTTCAGACTCTTCCTCAGATTCCTCTTCGGATTCTTCTTCCTCCTCCTCTTCCTTTTCTTCATCATCTTCATTCTCTTCATCCTCGTCGGCATCTTCCTTCATTGAAGCTGCCATTTTGTGTACTTCCTTTTCTAGTTTCTTGAATTTCTTCTTTTCTTCCCTATGTATTCAATAGATTAATTGAAAAAACTAAATCGCTTTAAAGTGTTTTTTCCAATACTTACTTGAGTATAACATGATTCTTTTTCATGGCCTCCTTGAGAGCCATTTTCTCCTTTTTGGCAGCTTCTTCCTTTACCTTTACCTTGGTTAATTTACTGCGCAATACTTTAACTTCCTTGACCAAACGTTTCTCACGTCTTTCGGCCTTCTTTTCTTCTGGCTCATCTGGATCACTTTCACTTTCAGCCAAGTCAAAGTCTGGTGAACTATCACGACCATTGTGAACATCACTGGCTCTTCTAGAGTCCAAGCCACCACCCTAATCAAACACGTAATGAAAATTTAGAAATCGTACAATCTCAACGTATGACTAAAAGAAGCATTTTAGAATCTTGGACATTTTGTTAAAACTTCGACTTATAAGAAAGTGTGAAACAATTTTTCCACTGAAACGTGAATAAATTTTCTATAGAAAAAGTTGTTAGATTCCAAACTATTTTTGTATACAAACAGTTGTCAGATTCCGAACAATTTTTGTATTGAAGGTTGTTAGATTCTGAACAAGTTTTCTATAGAAAAAGTTCTGAACAATTTTTCTATACAAAAAGTCGACAGATTCTAAACAAAATTTCTATAAAAAAGATGTCAGATTCTAAGCAAGTTTTTTATAAAAAAAAGATTTCAGATTTTTAACAAGTTTTCTATGAAAAACTTGAAAGTTTCTGAACAAGTTTTCTAGCGAAAATCTTGCCAGTTTGTGTACACTTTTTCTGCACAAAAAGTTGCTAGATTCAAGACAACATTTCTATAGAAAAGTTCTTAAACAGTGAACAACACTTCTATTGAAAAAGTTTTGAAATTGTGAAGTACTTTTCTATATAAGAAGTTTTAAAGTTTATAATTAAGGAGATTTTGTTAAAATATGTTTTTATAAAATTAGTTATTTCTTAAAATACCTTATGCTTGCCATTATGATGATAAAACGATAGCGTATGATCAAGATCATCATAATCATAGCAAAATTCAAATTGCGTTGAGTTAGTAAGCTGATGGCCCTTTAATAAAGCAAAGCAAGCCAAAATTGTTTAATTAAAGCAAAAAACTAAAGCAAATAAAGCAAATTACTAAAAACTAAATAAATTTAAATTACAGTTATTTAAAGTAAAGATTTTCTTTCTAATTCCACTTTTAAATGTTACCTGTAAAGCTTGTGCCAATTTTCTTTCCAACATTTGTATTTGTCTCTTTTGCTCTTCAATTTCACTCTTGGCTTGATCTAATTGTTCGCCCGTTGTTAAATATTTCTTTTCCAATTCCTTAGCAGTTTTCTTGGATTCTTCTGCCTCCTTTTTCAGTGAATTAACAAAAGCTTCTTCTGATTCGGGTGTGGTTTCCATGGTGGCGACAATAATTCTTGAACCATATTCCAAAGTTTTGTCTCTGGACTTTTCACGTTCTAGTTCAGCTTCTAAGGTGGCTATTTTGGCTAAAAGTTTTTTATTTTCTCTCTCTTGGGCCTCACGATTACGCAGTTCGAGTGCTAACATTTGTTTAGTGCTCTGCAAGTCATCGCGTATCTTATCAATGTCATCGAGTTCATCACCACTGGGATCGTCTAGTACTAAAGCGGAAACAATACTACCGGCACGTGTAGAGCTTGCAGAGGGTGCAGCACCATCGGTGGTCTGTAAAATGTATTTTAAATTATTTTGTTATTAGAAAATAACTAGTATTAGTAATATCACTTACATCTGTAGCTCCTGCTGCTCCTGGAGCACTGCCTAACATATTCACTTTAGATTGTGACTTTTGCAGTTGCTCTTCGATGGTCATTTGTCTGCGGAATTTCCTTAGACCTTCTATGAATGGCTTACTACGATCATTTGTTTGTGTGGGTTTCAATTTAATACCACCCTGGATTTGTTTCAACAGCTTATTGTGTGAATTATCCTTTTCGGTCTCATAAATAAATTTATTATCCACTTTGGTCATCGATTTGCAAGTGAGTATGGGTTGAGATCTATTATATAATTAAGAATAATTAAAAAATTATAAAATAAATTATAATTATTTAACACTCACCTGTCATTGCACTCCACATGTCGTAATTTCCTGCCACTTTCTACTTCCTTCATCATTTCCGACCAGTCAGGTCGTCGACGTGGTCTTGTTCTGCAATTATTAATTATTTAAAATTTAACTCTTTGTGTTAATTTTTTCATCAGACTTACTTTAGTTTTTCTATAGCTTGTTTTCGTGCCTCTGATATTTCCTTTTTCTCACCTGGCTTACCCAATGGTGGTGGAGGTGGTGGGGGAGCCTTGGGCACCAATGATGGTAATGGTGGTGGTGCCGGAACTAGATTTATAGAAATTTTAAAACATTATCATTTTTATTGTATAATAAAGCACAAAATTTCTTAAATTGTAAATTTTCTTTAAAGATGAGATTCGAATTTAATAAAATGTTAAAAATTGTTATTGATGTTAGTATTAATTTGCTGATTTTGAGAATGCAATAAAATTATTTACAGTGAAATGGATTGTATATGAAGTTTTAGAGTTTCTTTAGAAAAACTTTATCTAATTATTTTCTTTGGAAAACATTTTTAGCTTCAATCAACTTTTCTTTAAAAAAGTTACTCGAATATCTAAAAACTCTTTTATTCGAATTTGGACAACTTTTCTTTAGAACTTGTTCAAATTTGAACAAATTTCGTTAGAGAAACATCTTCGAATTTAAAGAAAGTTTCTTTAGACAATTTTGTTAAACATTTTACAATTTTTCTTTATAAAATGTTGTTCTTTTGGAAACACTTTTATTTAGAAAAGTTGTGAGAATTATATGTTCTAATAAATATTAAAATTTTATTTGACGAATATTTATTTCTGATCTAATTTAACATAATAAAATTGTATAAAATTCAATTTTCATTTGAGGTATGTGTTAAAAAAACTGTAAAATTGTTATTGAAATCTATTTATAATTATGCAAATATGTGTAGAGTGTGTGTACGTTTGTACTTGTATTTTAATGACCTAATTTTGAAAAAAATTTCTGTTTTATTTGATGCCATTTTATTTAGGTGTTATTAATTAACAACATCTGTTCCATTCAAATGATAATAAAATCATAAACATAAAATATTGAATTGTGTTTTTGAAAAATATGATATGAAGGCGAAATGAAACACAAAATATCTATGATACAGATACAAAAATTAATTCCCTTAAAAAATACATTACCGCAAAAAAATAAATTTATTATTTTCAAAAAAATTTATTATTGCATACTGCAGAATAGTAACGCACGAAATATTTACAAACAAGTTTAAAAAGCTTCATTCATTTTTAATAAAAATCAGTAAGAACAGTAGAAAAACTATTGAACAAAAGAGGAAGGAAACGCGTTTTTGCAATAGTCAGAGTCATGTTGAAGTAAAGCTGATTGGTTGTTTGATTGGGTTATAAAGAGGCATATTAACTTCGTTGGTTGTTTTCCTAATTGTTTAAAGTGTTAAAATGTAATTCTGCGTGATGTGTGCTACATTGATTTTCGTTTAATTATTTGCAGCAGATATTTTCTATATTTTTATATATACAAAATGTCTATATTCCACTGCAATGATATCAAAAATCATTGGAGGAATTCCGAATGTCATTTGTTCAATTTTGAACGTTTTTTTTTAAGAAAAAATTATCAATTTCAGTTCTAGTTCTAGTTCTAGTTCAGTTCTAGTTCAGTTCTAGTTCAGTTCTAGTTCAGTTCTAGTTCAGTTCTAGTTCAGTTCTAGTTCAGTTCTAGTTCAGTTCTAGTTCAGTTCTAGTTCAGTTCTAGTTCAGTTCTAGTTCACTTCTAGTTCAGTTCTAGTTCAGTTCTAGTTCAGTTCTAGTTCTGTTCTAGTTCAGTTCTAGTTCAGTTCAGTTCAGTTCTAGTTCAGTTCTAGTTCAGTTCTAGTTCAGTTCTAGTTCAGTTCTAGTTCAGTTCTTCAGTTCTAGTTCAGTTCTAGTTCAGTTCTAGTTCAGTTCTAGTTCAGTTCTAGTTTCAGTTCTAGTTACGTTCTAGTTCAGTTCTGTTCAGTTCTAGTTACAGTTCTATTTCTGTTCTAGTTCAGTTCTAGTTCGTTCTAGTCAGTTCTAGTTCAGTTCTAGTTCAGTTCTAGTTCAGTTCTATTCAGTTCTAGTTCAGTTCTAGTTCAGTTCTAGTTCGTTCTAGTTCATTCTAGTTCAGTTTAGTTCAGTTCTTTCAGTTCTAGATAAGTTCAGTCAGTTCTAGTTCAGTTCTAGTTCAGTTCTAGTTCAGTTCTAGTTCAGTTCTAGTTCAGTTCTAGTTCAGTTCTGTTCAAGTTCTAGTTCAGTTCTAGTTCAGTTCCTAGTTCAGTTCTAGTTCAGTTCTAGTTCAGTTCTAGTTCAGTTCTTAGTTCAGTTCTAGTTCAGTTCTAGTTCAGTTCTAGTTCAGTTCTAGTTCCGTCTAGTTCAGTTCTAGTTCAGTTCTAGTTCAGTTCTAGTAAGTTCTAGTTCAGTTCTAGTTCAGTTCTAGTTCAGTTCTATTTCAGTTATAGTTCAGTTCTAGTTCAGTTCTAGTTCAGTTTAGTTCAGTTCAGTTTCAGTTACTAGTTCAGTTCTATTGCAGTTCTAGTTCAGTTCTAGTTCAGTTCTAGTTAGTTCTAGTTCAGTTCTAGTTCAGTTCTAGTTCAGTTCTAGTTCAGTTCTAGTTCAGTTCTAGTTCAGTTCTAGTTCAGTTCTAGTTCTAGTTCTAGTTCTAGTTCTAGTTCTGTTCTAGTTCTGTTCTAGTTCAGTTCTAGTTCAGTTCTAGTTCAGTTCTAGTTCAGTTCTAGTTCAGTTCTAGTTCAGTTCTAGTTCAGTTCTAGTTCAGTTCTAGTTCAGTTCTAGTTCAGTTCTAGTTCAGTTCTAGTTCAATTCTAGTTCAGTTCTAGTTCAGTTCTAGTTCAGTTCTAGTTCAGTTCTAGTTCTAGTTCAGTTCTAGTTCAGTTCTAGTTCAGTTCTAGTTCAGTTCTAGTTCAGTTCTAGTTCAGTTCTAGTTCAGTTCTAGTTCAGTTCTAGTTCACTTCTAGTTCAGTTCTAGTTCTGTTCTAGTTCAGTTCTAGTTCAGTTCTAGTTCAGTTCTAGTTCAGTTCTAGTTCAGTTCTAGTTCAGTTCTAGTTCAGTTCTAGTTCAGTTCTAGTTCAGTTCTAGTTCAGTTCTAGTTCAGTTCTAGTTCAGTTCTAGTTCAGTTCTAGTTCAGTTCTAGTTCAGTTCTAGTTCAGTTCTAGTCAGTTCTAGTTCAGTTCTAGTTCAGTTCTAGTTCAGTTCTAGTTCAGTTCTAGTTCAGTTCTAGTTCAGTTCTAGTTCAGTTCTAGTTCAGTTCTAGTTCAGTTCTAGTTCAGTTCTAGTTCAGTTCTAGTTCAGTTCTAGTTCAGTTCTAGTTCAGTTCTAGTTCAGTTCTAGTTCAGTTCTAGTTCATTCTAGTTCAGTTCTAGTTCAGTTCTAGTTCAGTTCTAGTTCAGTTCTAGTTCAGTTCTAGTTCAGTTCTAGTTCAGTTCTAGTTCAGTTCTAGTTCAGTTCTAGTTCAGTTCTAGTTCAGTTCTAGTTCAGTTCTAGTTCAGTTCTAGTTCAGTTCTAGTTCAGTTCTAGTTCAGTTCTAGTTCAGTTCTAGTTCAGTTCTAGTTCAGTTCTAGTTCAGTCTGTCAGTTAGTTCAGTTCTAGTTCAGTTATAGTTCAGTTCTTAGTTCAGTTCTAGTTCAGTTTCTAGTTCAGTTCTCGTTTCAGTTCTAGTTCAGTTCTAGTTCGTTCTAGTTTCAGTTCTAGTTCAGTTCTAGTTTCAGTTCTAGTTTCAGTTCTAGTTCAGTTCTAGTTCCGTTCTTAGTTCAGTTCTAGTTCAGTTCTAGTTCAGTTTCTAGTTCAGTTCTAGTTCAGTTCTAGTTCAGTTCTAGTAAGTTCTAGTTCAGTTCTAGTTCAGTTCTAGTTCAGTTCTAGTTCAGTTCTAGTTCAGTTCTAGTTCAGTTCTAGTTCAGTTCTAGTTCAAGTTCTAGTTCAGTTCTAGTTCAGTTCTAGTTCAGTTCTAGTTCAGTTCTAGTTCAGTTCTAGTTCAGTTCTAGTTCAGTTCTAGTTCAGTCTAGTTTCAGTTCTAGTTCAGTTCTAGTTCAGTTCTAGTTCAGTTCTAGTTCAGTTCTAGTTCAGTTCTAGTTCAGTTCTAGTTCAGTTCTAGTTCAGTTCTAGTTCAGTTCTAGTTCTTTTTTGAACAACTTTTCTATAAGAAAACCTTTTCATAACTGAACAATTCTGATAACGCCAATATTTGTAGCACACAGCAGCCATTTGAGTAAAAAAAACTGTAGTAGTAAGAACTGCAATAGTTATAGTAGCAATTAAAAAAAGTAGTAGCATTGCCTAAACTTTGACCCGTTTAAACTTACCATTTTTGATACTGGGTTCGCGTTTAATTGACGGTGTTTTACGTAAAGTTTTCGTTTTAAATTCAGGTTTGGGTTCCTCTTTTGTTTCCTTAATTACCTCATCGACTTTGGGTACTTTTTTCAAAACCGGTCGTATTTTCATAATATTCTCTGAACTTTTACTAGGTAAGGGTTTCTCTTCGCGTTTAACATGACGCAATTTGGGCTTTTCTAATTTAAAACGTAAACGACGTTCGCGTTCTTCTTCGGTTTCACCTTCGACCGCCTCATCGTCATCTTCGATTTTTTTCATAGACTTGTCACGTTTAACGACAACCGGTCTAAGTTTGGGTTTTTCTATTGAAAAACGGCGTTTTAACTCACTTTCTTCTTCCTCTTTTTTGGGTGGTTGTGTTTTGGGTGGAATAATTTTTTTCCCAGCCGCTGTCGTGGCGGGAATTTTGCTGTTATTGTTGTTGGCTGGGGCTTGAGGTTTTTTAGCTGGTACTTTGGCGGATTCCTCTTCTTCAGATTCTTCTTCTTCAGATTCCTCTTCTTCGGTTTCTTCTTCTTCTGTTTCTTCTTCTGTCTCTTCTTCAGTTTCTTCTTCCTCCACCTCCTCCTCTTCCTCATCGGTTTCTTCTTCATCCGAAGAAGAGGGTGGTGTGGGTTCTTTTTTCTTAGCCGCTAGAGTTTTTGTTGTGCTGGCTGATGTTGTGGAGGGTTTTTTAACTGTTTCGGGTTCCTTTTTCACAGCTGTGGTGAGTTTCTTAACAGGTTCATTGGTTTTTTTCAAAGACTCACTAGCTTTCTTTAAAGTAGCACTGGGTTCTGCATTCGTTTTGCTTGCAGTGGTGGAGGGAGTAGTTTTCTTTAATATACTGGCATTGGGGGTTTCAGTTTCTTTGACGTCTATGCTTTTTCTGGCCCAAGGTATGGAGGTTTTGGTAGTGGGTTTTAAGCCACTTTGGGCTCCATCTTCTTTAACCCATGGTGGTCGAAAAGTGGTGCGACCCGCCGCATTACCACTAGTCGTTGTAGTTTTTGGTGCAACAAAAGGCATTTTTACACTTTAAAATAACTTTAATAAATATTTTCCAAATTTTTTTTATTCAACCAAGTTTTAAATCACTTAAAACATGTTTAATTTAGTTAAATACTATGTTTATGTTCGTTTAATTGTAATTTATTTTAATTTAATGTATTTTTCTTTTATTAAATTTTTATGACTAATCAAATATTTGTTTGCGCTTTTCTTTGTCGTTTAGTAAAAAATAATAATTCGTTCTGTGAAAGTGAAAAATTTATCTTTAATATTTTTATATTTTATTTAAAAATGTTTTTGTATTTTTATTAATTTTTTTTCGTTCTTTGAGTTTTCTTCTCAATATAAATTTTAAAGCACAACAACTGTTTATGTTTCCTAAAGGCATTTAACATTTTATTTTATATACAAAATTTATTTATTTTTTTTTATTTTTTGATTTTTAGTTTTATTTTTAGATAATGAATATTAAAATATTAGCATCACTAACAAACTGAACTAAAAACAAAAATGGTGTTTCTTTTTTTTTCATTTCTTGGCACAGACTTTTAGTCAAATTTGTTTACTAATACCGAAAATTTATATATAATTTTTTTATACTCATGACGTTGGAATATTGTCTTTATTATACATTTATGTATAAATAATAGATAAATACGAATTGATCATCAGTTTATAAATGGCTACTACAGGGATTTATTGAATTGAAACAGAAATTTATGTATAATATGTTTAATTAGCTTCATTATAGGGAATCAAATTTAGGAAATTTTAGGACTAAATTAAACATATTTAACTAAATAGAAAACTATATATTTCAAATATTTTTTTTTTTTAAATTAAACTCAAAAATCTATAAAACTACAGAATATGTCAATTTATTTGCTACGCAGGATTTCATTGTACAGTTATTTTCTAATCCAAGGTATATATTTCAAATGTTAAAGGACTTCTGTATTATAATAAGCCGAAGTAGAGATCTTTGTTAGCCAGTGAATGAATAAAACCCCTTAGATAAGAAACCATTCCATCCGAATTGACTCGATCAAAATGATAGATATGAAAAACTCTATAGGTTCTGATATGGTGAACGTTTCCAAACGAATTGATTTTGGTGGCGGAGTTAAGTTTTCAGTTCTAATTCAGTTCTAGTTCAGTTCTAGTTCAGTTCTAGTTCAGTTCTAGTTCAGTTCTAGTTCAGTTCTAGTTCAGTTCTAGTTCAGTTCTAGTTCAGTTCTAGTTCAGTTCTAGTTCAGTTCTAGTTCAGTTCTAGTTCAGTTCTAGTTCAGTTCTAGTTCAGTTCTAGTTCAGTTCTAGTTCAGTTCTAGTTCAGTTCTAGTTCAGTTCTAGTTCAGTTCTAGTTCAGTTCTAGTTCAGTTCTAGTTCAGTTCTAGTTCAGTTCTAGTTCAGTTCTAGTTCAGTTCTAGTTCAGTTCTAGTTCAGTTCTAGTTCAGTTCTAGTTCAGTTCTAGTTCAGTTCTAGTTCAGTTCTAGTTCTAGTTCAGTTCTAGTTCAGTTCTAGTTCAGTTCTAGTTCAGTTCTAGTTCAGTTCTAGTTCAGTTCTAGTTCAGTTCTAGTTCAGTTCAGTTCAGTTCAGTTCAGTTCTAGTTCAGTTCAGTTCTAGTTCAGTTCTAGTTCAGTTCTACTTCAGTTCTACTTCAGTTCTACTTCAGTTCTAGTTCAGTTCTACTTTAGTTCTACTTCAGTTCTACTTCAGTTCTAGTTCAGTTCTTGTTCAGTTGTAGTCCTAGTTCAATTTTAGTGCAGTTATATTTAGTAGCTTTTTGCCATCACTGTATATAATCAATCATAAAGATTTTTAGTTTCTGAAGGAATAAAATGAATAAAACCCCTTTAGATAAGAAACCATTTCATCCGAATTGACTCGATCAAAATGATAGATATGAAAAACTCTATAGGTTCTGATATGGTGAACGTTTCCAAACGAATTGATTTTGGTGGCGGAGTTAAGTTTTCAGTTCTAATTCAGTTCTAGTTCAGTTCTAGTTCAGTTCTAGTTCAGTTCTAGTTCAGTTCTAGTTCAGTTCTAGTTCAGTTCTAGTTCAGTTCTAGTTCAGTTCTAGTTCAGTTCTAGTTCAGTTCTAGTTCAGTTCTAGTTCAGTTCTAGTTCAGTTCTAGTTCAGTTCTAGTTCAGTTCTAGTTCAGTTCTAGTTCAGTTCTAGTTTCAGTTCTAGTTCAGTTCTAGTTCAGTTCTAGTTCAGTTCTAGTTCAGTTCTAGTTCAGTTCTAGTTCAGTTCTAGTTCAGTTCTAGTTCAGTTCTAGTTCAGTTCTAGTTCAGTTCTAGTTCAGTTCTAGTTCAGTTCTAGTTCAGTTCTAGTTCAGTTCTAGTTCAGTTCTAGTTCAGTTCTAGTCAGTTCTAGTTCAGTTCTAGTTCAGTTCTAGTTCAGTTCTAGTTCAGTTCTAGTTCAGTTCTAGTTCAGTTCTAGTTCAGTTCTAGTTCAGTTCTAGTTCAGTTCTAGTTCTAGTTCAGTTCTAGTTCAGTTCTAGTTCAGTTCTAGTTCAGTTCTAGTTCAGTTCTAGTTCAGTTCTAGTTCAGTTCTAGTTCAGTTCTAGTTCAGTTCTAGTTCAGTTCTAGTTCTAGTTCAGTTCTAGTTCAGTTCTAGTTCAGTTCTAGTTCAGTTCAGTTCTAGTTCAGTTCAGTTCTAGTTTAGTTCTAGTTCAGTTCTACTTCAGTTCTACTTCAGTTCTACTTCAGTTCTACTTCAGTTCTACTTCAGTTCTACTTCAGTTCTAGTTCAGTTCTACTTTAGTTCTACTTCAGTTCTACTTCAGTTCTACTTCAGTTCTAGTTCAGTTCTTGTTCAGTTCTAGTCCTAGTTCAATTTTAGTGCAGTTATATTTAGTAGCTTTTTGCCATCACTGTATATAATCAATCATAAAGATTTTTAGTTTCTGAAGGAATAAAATGAATAAAACCCCTTTAGATAAGAAACTATTTCATCCGAATTGACTCGATCAAAATGATAGATATGAAAAACTCTATATGTTCTGATATGGTGAACGTTTCCAAACGAATTGATTTTGGTGGCGGAGTTAAGTTTTCTCGATTTGTCTCACGCTTCTCTAAAGATATCAATATGCTTCAGGGACTGTTATCTTGATGACTACCCGTACTTTAATGTTATTGCTTTTCGAAGGGAAATAGTTGTTAACTCTATCTGATACCATAATTATCGACAGTATATCTCGAGAACACCAACACTGACAGTTGAAAAAGCGAAGAAAGAATGTTTGACTTCGCTGTTCGAGAAAAGTAATGGTATTGAATCGGAGGAAAATCTTCTGGAACGAGTCGCAACCTTCCATTTCAAACCTACAGTGCCTTTTTGAATAGATAACTGAAATTTTAACAGTTAATATCTAAAATTTATTACAAAATAATTTTCATTGCATTTGATTTTTCCCCAATTTTTCCATTAAAATTAGCTGGTTAAATGCTTCTCTATTGATCATTTAATATTTTTATTATTTCACTTTATTCATTCAAAATATTTCTTTTTTTTTGCCAACAATTCATTCTCTCACTCCCAGTTGTTTCCAAATTTCTCCGAGTTATTCGCATATTTTTGTGTTTATTTAAAATAAAAATTTTTTGGTGTCGTTGTTTGGTTTTTGTTGTTCTTTTTTTTCAATCTTTATTTTTACTCGATTTAATTTTATTTTGGTGAAAATTGTGAAAAAAAATGTTTTTAGTGTTTATATAGATATTTGGTTATAGGGAGAGAGGGGATGTATGAAGAGCCGTATATACAAAAGTGATGGGGCTAGTATACAAAAAAATTTACATATGTTGTTTTGGTGGAATGTATACAGTAAATGGCGTATATAGATTTATGATACCGATTTTAACTCGCTATAGTAAGGTTTGAAAATTTGAAATAGTATTATTAATTTCCAGAAACATTGAAATGGTCTAGATTTAGCAACATAAACTTATGTTATGATCCTCACCATTCATAATGGCTGAACTCCACCTAGAAGCTAGTCACTGATCATTCTTGACGAATGACGAAGTGCTTTACGTGAACACGTGCCGTGTGTTCATCGCCTATTACACGGTGGTCTTTTTCAACCTCTTGATGAGCTTTTGCGACGACTCATCACCGCCCCATTGTGTTTCTTACACACAGGTGGCAATTTACGTATATGAAAGTTCCGGTCCAGTATAAGTGCACTTTGCTCAAGTACTTAAGCTATCTAATCTCTGAACATTGCTAGCCTGTTGCTTAACTTCCGAGATGCAAAAAAATCACATCCGTTTACAACCACGAAGATGAGAGGTCCTCTGTTGAGTCGGCAACAGCACCTATAGACGTAACCGTTAGACTAAAGTACAAGTCCATCAAATAAGCCGAGACTTTGTTCTTACTCAGAGTGACACACTGTGGTAATTCTGGTATGAACAGAGTTTACACTGAACATAACTGTAAAAGGAAGGAAAATTCAATGGTATCACTTGTATAAAATACCTTTAATACATCAACATTCAACCCAGCACACTTCTCAATTATCCGACACACTCATAAGAGAACAACATACGACAGACTCACTCTAGGTATACGGGCGGATGAGTTCCGTATACCCCTACATTCATCCTGTATCATATACAATTAACTCATTTCCAACGCTTAGTCCCACAGTCACTCCTCTGTGGGGTATCTGTTATCAATCGGCAACAGCACCGAACTTATCCCGAGATATAGATTTCACCGTGCATCAGTCTTTTAATTGCCAATTTGGGTTTAAACCACAGCCGCTACGTGGATCCCGAAGGAACCTGAACCAACTGACCAGACAGGACATGTCCCTGGTGAGGGATCATTCTTCACGGTTAACATTTTTCGAACATCTAATCGACATGTAGCAATCATTATCTCAAGTCGATAACATTACACAAAGCCCATTCGATGATCCCGCTACTCGGATCCATTCCCACCATTGGATCTTACTAAAAACCAGTACAGTAGCAGTAGGTCTTGTATGACTTTGATCAACTGTGAGTTGATGTATGATCACTTCTCTTGGTAACTTGCCATGTAAAAACATTAAATGCGGGAAGTCAATATAGTAAAATGACTTCTTGCATGGTAAAAGTTCGGTATCGCTAATAACATACAATTAATAACGACATTCGCCAAAGATCACACTATGATGAAAACATTCATTCCATTTTAAATAGAAGTTTAACTTTAATCAGATGTTTCTAATAGAGATTTCTGTCGCTTTTGAATCTAGATCTGCCTCCAGATCTAGGAAATGTAACGAGAATCTTCGTTTGACAGATAAGAACGAAAAAACGATTTCGTGCTCGATTAAATCCATACTAAAGGCTTATTTTAAGCAAAAGTGCTTATTTACAACCAAGTCTAGAGAGGAAAAGGTGAAAGCAATTCTCTTTCGAAAAATGCGAGGTTTTGGTTTATTAAAAAAAGGAAAAAAGTAGACCTATGCTAAGGACTGTTTGCCGAGAAAAAAAACTTCTGGTCATTCTCTGACAGAGTTAATGTTAGTTTCTTAATTTCCCTTCTTTTTACGAATGTCTCAACAAAGATTAAACACTTTCCAAAAAGCAATTTTTCTACACTTTTTGATGTAATAGAGGTTTTATCGATCGATTTCGATAACAATCGAAATCAATATTTTAATTCTATAAATATTGATACAAGATTCTTGATTCTCTTGCAGTCATCTAAATTATTCAAAACCCCTTAAACTTTTTCCCAGTCACCGACTGTAGCATCACACATCATTCAGTCCGCCGTATATATTCTTTGTTATACATACATACAATAAATACTATTTGTGTATTTTTTGAATTAAAGAACGAACCGAAATGTCTGAAATAAAGGCGAATAAAACAAAAAAAAAAAAAAAAAAAACATTTTTGTACACATATACAAAACACAAAAATATAAAATAAAAGTTTAATTTCCTACGAGAAAAACGACGAAAAAAGAACGGACAAAAATTTAAAAAAAAAAAAAAAATAATAAATTTTGTATAAAAATAAATTTATGGAGGCGTTATAACGCAATATATTTTGAATTTAAAAAATATTCATTGTGTCACTTTGCTACAATATATAGAACATTATTTAATTAAATAAATATTTTATATGCATTATTGACAAAAATATTGTAATACAAATAAACTACAAATATGTCAAATTAAGGCCAAATTAAGGCAATTAATAAAATGGATAAATCACTATATTTTCGAAAATTTTTATATTTTTAAAACCCTTAAACAGTTGTTGTGTTTTTTTTAAGCTGAAAGTCTTCAAGGTTTTTTTAAATTTGTTTAAAATAAATTTCTTGATATTTTTATCCAGTATTTTTTTTTTAGATTTGTTCTTTTTTATTTCCAATTATATATACTTTTTTATAAAAATAATTCTTTACACTTTGCACTGTTCGTTTTTATATTTTTTTCAATACTTTTTTTCCATACAAATAGAAATATTTTCTTTAGATTTTTTTCTTTTTTTATATTTCTGTGTGTGTTTGTTCGACCTTACGCACTAAAACGTACAAAATTATATCTAGACAATATCGTTCCACGGCCTAAAATGAACTAGTCAAATTATGGCTGGCAAAAGTTTCATTTGGCCAAATAAAAATCAAAAAAAGAAAATTCTAAAATTTTCAATTTTCTCTGTAAAAAAGTATTTTTGAAAATGTTTTAGTATAATTCCTCAGTTTATTTTATATTTCCGTTAAAGAGTTTTTCCGGATCTTAGCACTGCTCTGCTCTTTGTATGTACTCTGCTCTCTTGTCTGCCAGATCTATTCTCCTGTTTATTGTTGCTCCAAATGCAAAAATATTTTGCGGTATTTGCATTATTTCATTTTTTGTGTTTTCAATTTGGAATATTTTCGTGAGCAAAAGTGAGTGAGTGAAGTGAGTGTTAATGATGTTTTTTTTTTCAGAAAATTTTCGTTAAACATTTTGTTGTTGTTTACTGAGGATGACCACATTTGTTGTATATTTAGTATTTCGAAATTTTCATTAACAAGGAGATTGTTCCCCCACCCTTACACTTGCTTTTTCTTTTTCTTGTTTTTTTTTTCTCCATCTTCATGTCATTTCCATTTGATTTGTAGAGTTTGTTATACAAAAAGAAAATTGTTTGCAGTCAGTCGTCTATGAAATATTGTTTATTTCTTAATGTTTTTTTATTTAATTATAATTAACAATATTTGTTCGTTTTTCTTGTTTTTGGGGGCAGTTCATTGTTCTTCTTTTGGAGGTTTTTTTTAAATGTTTATGCAATTGTGGTTATTTTCAATATCATTTATATGGAAAAATTTAATATATAAATTGAATATAAGGAAAATTTGTGTTTTGAAGAGTAATATTTTTAATAAATATGTAAAACAAAATCTTTCTTTATAGTTTATTTTATAAACAAAACAGTTTTGTTTATTTCCTTCATTTTAAGATAATATTTAATCCAAAATACTAATAATACTTGAGTGAAAATTAATGTTTAATCAATTTTTTTCTTTTTTTCGCGAAAAAGTCTAGTCTAGTAGTCTATAGTCTAGTCTATAGTCTAGTCTATAGTCTAGTCTATAGTCTAGTCTATAGTCTAGTCTATAGTCTAGTCTATAGTCTAGTCTATAGTCTAGTCTATAGTCTAGTCTAGTCTATAGTCTAGTCTATAGTCTAGTCTATAGTCTAGTCTATAGTCTAGTCTATAGTCTAGTCTATAGTCTAGTCTATAGTCTAGTCTATAGTCTAGTCTATAGTCTAGTCTATAGTCTAGTCTATAGTCTAGTCTATAGTCTAGTCTATAGTCTAGTCTATAGTCTAGTCTATAGTCTAGTCTATAGTCTAGTCTATAGTCTAGTCTATAGTCTAGTCTATAGTCTAGTCTATAGTCTAGTCTATAGTCTAGTCTATAGTCTAGTCTATAGTCTAGTCTATAGTCTAGTCTATAGTCTAGTCTATAGTCTAGTCTATAGTCTAGTCTATAGTCTAGTCTATAGTCTAGTCTATAGTCTAGTCTATAGTCTAGTCTATAGTCTAGTCTATAGTCTAGTCTATAGTCTAGTCTATAGTCTAGTCTATAGTCTAGTCTATAGTCTAGTCTATAGTCTAGTCTATAGTCTAGTCTATAGTCTAGTCTATAGTCTAGTCTATAGTCTAGTCTATAGTCTAGTCTATAGTCTAGTCTATAGTCTAGTCTATAGTCTAGTCTATAGTCTAGTCTATAGTCTAGTCTATAGTCTAGTCTATAGTCTAGTCATAGTCTAGTCTCTAGTCTAGTCTATAGTCTAGTCTATAGTCTAGTCTATAGTCTAGTCTATAGTCTAGTCTATAGTCTAGTCTATAGTCTAGTCTATAGTCTAGTCTATAGTCTAGTCTATAGTCTAGTCTATAGTCTAGTCTATAGTCTAGTCTATAGTCTAGTCTATAGTCTAGTCTATAGTCTAGTCTATAGTCTAGTCTATAGTCTAGTCTATTCTAGTTAGTATAGTCTAGTCTATAGTCTATAGTCTAGTCTATATTCTAGTCTATAGTCTAGTCTATAGTCTAGTCTATAGTCTAGACTATAGTCTAGTCTATAGTCTAGTCTATAGTCTAGTCTATAGTCTAGTCTATAGTCTAGTCTATAGTCTAGTCTATAGTCTAGTCTATAGTCTAGTCTATAGTCTAGTCTATAGTCTAGTCTATAGTCTAGTCTATAGTCTAGTCTATAGTCTAGTCTATAGTCTAGTCTATAGTCTAGTCTATAGTCTAGTCTATAGTCTAGTCTATAGTCTAGTCTATAGTCTAGTCTATAGTCTAGTCTATAGTCTAGTCTATAGTCTAGTCTATAGTCTAGTCTATAGTATAGTCTATAGTCTAGTCTATAGTCTAGATAGTCTAGTCTATAGTCTAGTCTATAGCCTAGTCTCGTCTATAGTCTAGTCTATAGTCTCGTCTATAGTGTAGTCTATAGTCTCGTCTATAGTGTAGTCTATAGTCTAGTCTATAGTCTAGTATATAGTCTAGTCTATAGTCTAGTCTATAATATAATCCAAATTTCAGCATAGATCACAATAAAGGTCTAGTTTCGTTTATACGTACAGGAATTATGTTACAGTGATGATGCTTGTGATGATTTATTACTATTTGATCAAAACTCCCAATTAGGCCGACTTTCGAAAAAATATCAAGGTGTAGGTCGAGAATGACTATACTATTTTGTTGCATTTGGCCCCTGTTTTTGGATAATGGAAATGTTAGTGAGAGTGAAAGAGAGAATGATTGTTGTTTAGTTTACGCAAAATGCAAGGTTTTTGAATTAAAAAAGTATTTCTTATGTAAAATCTTTGAAAAAAAAAGATTTTTGCTAGACATTGTAAGTTAATTAATTAAAAAATTTACGTATGTTTTCCCTAATTAAGTTTAGTTTAAAAAATGTGTGACAACAAGCAGTCCTTTAAAATAAATGACTTTCTGTGATTTTGTTTTAATAATTAATAACAATATTACCTTTTCTACCCAGCTGTCATGTTGTCAAATAAAGCAATATTGTATAATTGTTTTATAATAAAGTACCTTTGAGGATTATAAGCTTTATATATTGAAACAAATAAATGATAAATTGAAAAGGGATTTTTTAACAAATCACCATTTTATAAAGTACAATATGAAAGCTTAAGAATGGGTTGTGGGTGAAAAAAAAAAAAAAAACAAATTGAAATAATAACATTAAAAACTATACATTAGCACTTACATTTAAATTCTATATTATATGGACTGTCAATTTCCAATTGAGAGATAAATCTCTTACGAATCTCCACATACAATATGTCCATTACTCAAGAGTATTAACGCGAAAATCCCTCTCAGAAATTATAAATAAAAGAAGTATAAATGAAAGAAAATGTGAACTGCCTCCTACACTTATCAAGTGTTTTTCTTTTTTTGTTTTTCCCAATGACGTTGGAGATGATAATGTGTTAATTACCTTAAATAGACTAAATGATGTTGGTGGTAAATGGCCCAATTAAAATTGTTTGTTTGAGAATAACAAAAGAAAAATGCTATGATATTAAAAAAAGAAAAGCAAACAGCAAATGAAAATCAACTTATTTTGTCTGTAAGTAATAATAATGAAAATTAAAGAAAATATAACGAAAAAATACATAGTGAAAAGACAAGTGTCACAAAAATAACCTCTTTTGTTTTTCAATGTAAATGTCAGAGAGATAAAAATAAAGTAAATAAAATTACAAATTAAAAATCTGCAAAAGAAATTACCAAAAAAAAAAAATCAAGAGAGAAATAATAAAGATGAAAATATATCTAGACGGAGTGGCGAATTTTAAACACCCTATATTGGTACATTTAGTTGGTACTAAAAGAATTGCTACTTTTTTTCCAATTACCCACTAAGACAACACAAAAAAGTGTCAAGATATCAGTATTAACGACAAGTTGAATTTGAAAGTTAAAATTTTCCTGCAACTATATAAAAATATAATCTCACCACCTATCTATCAGTATTTTATTAAATATTGAACTTCTATACCCACCGTAGAGTATCACATACAGAAAGTAAAACCGCATAAAAATTATAGCCAATTATTTTTCTTTTACAATTACGCAAGTGAATTTATTCTACAAGAAAAAAATTCACAAAAGAAAAACAAAAAAAAGTAGAAAATATCTACTTTTAATTTACAAAAGAATTACGGAGAAAAAGTCAAATATATTTTAAGTTTATTATAATGAATGAATACGATGATGATACTTAATGTTGATTATGGCGTGTGGTTTACATTCACTATGAAAATGTATAGTAAAAAAAACCAAGGAGAAATGACAACAGTATTGTCATTACAAACCTTCTGTTCTTGTTATCATCATTAACAACATTGAATTTCTTACCTTGTAATAAATACCATTCATCCAAAAAATCCAAACCCATTTTAACAAAGTAAAATTTGTTTTCTTGACGACTTTATCTGTCTTTATATTTGATTTTTAGGTTTTTTTAGTAGTTTTTTTGTTAGAGTCTTAAAATTTTATGGAAAAAATATCACACATTTCATACTTTTTTACATTTTAAAATTTTTTCTAAATTTTCTAGTATAACTTTTTTGCGTTTAAAGCTTTTGTACTTTTAAATACAACTTTTTTCTCTATAATTTTCTTATTATTTCTTTAACTGCAATTGACATTTTATTTATGTGTATGAAAGTAAAGTATTGAATTGTATAGAATCGTTTAGAATAGATTAAATCGATTTATTTTTCATTTTAATTGATACGATTTGATTTGCTGCTGTTGCTTTTTTCCTAAGGAGATGATGTTGATAAGAATGTTGAAAGAGTAGATGATAAAAAGTGTTAGTAAAGTGTAGATACTTATAGAGATGCGTAAAAAATGTTCAATTTAATTCGATGTTTTTGTAAAAAAAAAATACAAAACAGATGTCTTTTAAAGCAGTTGTGGTGAAAGAAGTAGCACTATAGATAGATAGATAGATAGATAGATAGATAGATAGATAGATAGATAGATAGATAGATAGATAGATAGATAGATAGATAGATAGATAGATAGATAGATAGATAGATAGATAGATAGATAGATAGATAGATAGATAGATAGATAGATAGATAGATAGATAGATAGATAGATAGATAGATAGATAGATAGATAGATAGATAGATAGATAGATAGATAGATAGATAGATAGATAAATAGATAGATAGATAGATAGATAGATAGATAGATAGATAGATAGATAGATAGATAGATAGATAGATAGATAGATAGATAGATAGATAGATAGATAGATAGATAGATAGATAGATAGATAGATAGATAGATAGATAGATAGATAGTTAGATAGTTAGATACTTAGATAGATAGATAGGGAGTACATGATACTTAACATGGTCTTATGAAAAAAAGTAAACATGATCCATGCCTGTATTACATAGGACTACTGAACGGATCATGTAATCCAATGTTTCAATTCTCAGCCGCAGCTGGAAATAAAATATTTCTTTGTTTGGACCCATTGTACGTCCTAGGCCATCTCTGTATCAATGTTAGTAGGAATTGTATACAGACTGGGAAATTTCTTATTACAAATTCTATATAAACTTTTCCTTAAATGGAAAAAGATTGATCTTAATTTCTATCGAAGATATTTCGGTAAAAATGTCTAAGAATAATTAAAATTACAACACCATTCTTTGTAAATAATTTATTTGCATTTAATAAGCAAAAAATAAGACACCAAAGTTGATTGCATATAAATATATATATAAAAATTTCTTAACAGATCCTACTTAAATTATAAAATGATTTAATTAACTAACTAAAGTAGACATTTACATTTGAACTATAATTTTTAATTAACTTCATTTTCGGTAGCATTGACTTTGGGACTAAAGTGTTGCCAAGTAGAAATTTCATCAAATAAACGACCACCCGGACACTCGGTATCACGTACTTGTCGATGACCCATTAACTTATATTCGGGATGGATATAACCCTTAGCCACACCAAAAGCTATTAAATCCTTGGCTGCCTTTAACATTTGGGGAGGAGGTAAATCGGCTAAAAAGAAAATATATATAATTTAGTTAAAAACTTTTAATATGATTTATTATTAAAACTTACTTCTCCAATCGCCTATCAAACAAATGCCCACACTTTTGTCATTGTATTTGGGAGCATGAGCGCCGATAACATTAAAACCACGACCCACATAAATATTACCATCACCACCTATGGCAAAACTATAGCCAATATCATTCCAACCCCTTTCCAATTGATGATAATCCTGCATAGATCTCATGGCCCTTTGACAGTCCTCATTGGTAAAACAGGCAGCCGGTTGATAGGAATGATGTATGATAACAAATGGTGAAGGCCCTGGAAAATGTTCTACCATTGTGGGTGTACGGGCACCCCATTCCGCCCGTGTAACCATATGAGAATGAGGCTGCTGCATGTGTCCTACACCTAAAAAATTCAATTGAAATGAAGATTGATTTAGTTGAATTTAAATAAAAAATTAATAGATATGTTATGATTTAATTTAATTTTAATGTGTTAACATTTTAATTTACATCATATATCTAGTTGTTTTAAATTAAATGTTTCGTACTTAATATTAAATTGTGGTAATTTTTTATTGTTTTGTGTCAAAAAAAAGGGTATTTCACCGTAATTATTTAACAAAAAATAATCATATATATTTATAAAACAGAGTGTGACATTTATAATCAGTGATCGAAATGACTTAATGCCTGATGTATTTTAAATATTAATTTAAAATACACTTATTTTATAAAAATAAAAACAATTTATCTATTCTATCAAAGTATGGCTATAACGTGTTGGTTTATTATTGTATTAAATGTTTTAAAAATGTTAAATATTTTTTATAACATCAGATATTGGTGTTTCCCCGAGTGTATTAAAATATTTAAGTTCAAACTCTTCGATAATATGTAACCCAGAAGACCGCAAGGTTGGAGGCTATAGACTAGACTATGAACCAGACTATAGACTAGACTATAGACTAGACTATAGACTAGACTATAGACTAGACTATACACTAGACTATAGACTAGACTATACACTAGACTATAGACTAGACTATAGACTAGACTATAGACTAGACTATAGACTAGACTATAAACTAGACTATAGACTAGACTATAGACTAGACTATAGACTAGACTATAGACTAGACTATAGACTAGACTATAGACTAGACTATAGACTAGACTATAGACTAGACTATAGACTAGACTATAGACTAGACTATAGACTAGACTATAGACTAGACTATAGACTAGACTATAGACTAGACTATAGACTAGACTATAGACTAGACTATAGACTAGACTAGACTATAGACTAGACTAGACTATAGACTATAGACTAGACTAGACTAGACTAGACTAGACTAGACTAGACTAGACTAGACTAGACTAGACTAGACTAGACTAGACTAGACTAGACTCGACTCGACTAGACTCGACTAGACTATAGACTATAGACTAGACTATAGACTATACACTATAGACTACAGACTATAATCTATAGACTATAATCTATAGACTAGACTAGACTATAGATTAGACTATAGACTAGACTAGACTAAACAAGACTAGACTAGACTATAGACTAGAATAGACTAGACTATAGACTATAGACTAGACTAGACTAGACTAGACTAGACTAGACTAGACTAGACTAGACTAGACTAGACTAGACTAGACAAGACAAGACAAGACTAGACTAGACAAGACTAGACTAGACTAGACTAGACTAGACTAGACTAGACTAGACTAGACTAGACTAGACTAGACTAGACTAGACTAGACTATAGACTAGACTAGACTAGACTAGACTAGACTAGACTATAGACTAGACTATAGACTAGACTAGACTATATACTAGACTAGACTATATACTAGACTATAGACTAGACTATAGACTAGACTATAGACTAGACTATAGACTAGACTATAGACTAAACCAAAGACTAAACTCTAGACTATACTATAGACTAGACTATAGACTAGACTATAGACTAGACTATTGACTAGACTATAGACTAGACTATAGACTTGTGACTTATGGGTGAGAGCATAGGAGCTCATGCTGTGCAAAATACCTGCCCAGGTGTAGAGTTTTTATAATTCGGTTATGCCATTCTCAACCGTTAATACCGACTTTATATTTTCAGTGCAATAAATAGATTTGAATAAAAATCAAAGTTTATACATAAACCAGTTTAGCTAAACAAAAAAAACTTAAAATTCATTTAAAATTTTAATTTCAAAACAAAAGATTTACCTAAATTTTTTTCCATTTCTTTCAGTTATTGTCGCGCCTTTGACGTCACACTTTGAATTTTAAAAACTGTAAGTTTTTCTTATCTTCACTTATTTAAACTAAACTACGATTTTATTTTGTTTCCTTTTATGGTTTTACTTGCAAATACTATTTTTGAATCTATAATTTGTCGATTTTTAACTGTTATGAATTAATTTAAAAAAAATACCACGCTTTTTTATACGATTTTTGTGACTTTTTGTTAACACTCTCTCGCCTTAATGTCGTTTAATGACTGCAGAATTACTGACTGGCTAAACTTCCTCAAAAACTTTCTGTTAATATGTAGATATTTTTCATCACTTACTTTATTTGGGCACATCAATTTAAAAAAGATTGACGTGTTTATTCATACATATTTAATTTGAATTTAAATTTCTATTTTTAGTTATTACGTAGAATTTTTAATAGGCTTGACATTACTAAAAAAAAAACTTTAAATAGTTGTCTTTATTTTATCACAATTGGCAACTCTTAAATTAAAATACCGTTAAATGTATGACACATTCGTAAACAGTGTTGCCAGAGAAGTGAAATTTTTTGCTAATACTAAAAATGCAAGAACACGACGATAAAACGCAAACTCGTATTAGGAATGTGTGGTGTGAATAGAAAAGTGTATAAGTTAATTAGTTTTTGTTGAAATAAGCGATTTTAATTTTTTGTTTGTTTACTTAGGGATTCTATATTATTTTGTTGTTTTTGAATAGTTGACATTTCTGCTTTGAAATCTGATTTGCAAAATTTAAATCATGTTGCTAATTTGCATACTAAAATTAAACTAGTTAATGTTAAAAATAAACAAAAATTACCGGAACATTTAAATAGGTTAAATGACAAATTGTATGGATTTTATACACGTGTTAAACTTATGACGTGTATAAGGTAAAAAAAAACACTTTATGCTTAAGATAAAGACAGGGGTTAAACTCCTAATATGTTGGTAGTTATAATGCTAGATTTCAATTTTGTTCGGAAGTAAACTTAAAAGTTTATTTGGTTTAACGATGCGTCATATTTAAAGAGTTATATAAAACCGTATGGAGCGAAGTGGTTATAAGGGTTCGAAAAGTCTTTGTTATTTCAGAATAATCATATTAATGATAACATGTTTCGAGTAGTTCATTAAGGAATCTGTGTCGAGAAAAAAGTCTATTGAATAGTAATTGGACTAGTTTAATGAATAGTCTATGGACTATTGATGGATTAGTCTATGGACTAGTTTATTTACGAGTCTATGGATTAGTTTCCTGATTAGTATATCGACTAGGCTATGGACTAGTTTTTTTGATTAGTCTATCGACTATTATATGGATTAGTCTATTTACTAGTCTATTCAGTAGTCTATTGACTCGTTTATGGTCTATTCTATTGACTACCCTATGGACTAGGTTATTGACTAGTCTATGGACTATTCTATTGACTACTCTATGGACTTGTCTATTGACTAGTCTATTGGCTACTCTATTGACTAGCCTATTGACTAGTCCATTGACTATTCTATAGACTTGTCTATTGACTACTCCATTGACTATTCTATGGACTTGTCTATTGACTACTCTATGGACTAGGTTATTGAATAGTCTATTGACTATTCTATGGACTAATCTATGAACTACTCTACTGACTACTCTATAGACTAGTCTATGGACTAGACTATTGACAAGTCAATGGATTAGGCTATTGACCAGTCTATGGACTAGACGATACTAGTCAATAGACTAGTATATGGATTAATCTATTGACTAGTATAAATAGTCTATGGACTATTATATGGACTACTAGTCTACTGAGTACTCTATGGACTAATCTATTGACTGTTCTATGGACTATTCTATTGACCATTCTATGAACTAGTCTATTGACTAGTCGAGTCAAAAGTATAGTCTATTGACTATTCTTTTGACTCTTTTACCTTTCTTATAGTCTTTTGATTAGATTATGCATTAGTATAGACTAATCAATGAACAAATCTGTGAACTTATCCATGGACTAGTCTATTGATTAGTCTTTGGACTAGTTTATTAACTTGTGTATGGACTAGTCCATGGACTAGTTTATTGATTAGTCTACTGACTAGTGTATGGACTAGTCTATGGACTTGTCGACTGACTAGTCTATGGTTTAGTTAGTTTTTTTTTTTAGTTTTTATTTTAATAACCAAATTCATTAGTTAAATATAAATCAATTAATAACAATTATGTAATGTTTAAAACCACTTAATTCTTTTACATATAAATTTAATACACTTAACTTTACAATTTATTTAAACAAGTATTTCAAATAAGTTACAAATAAAGGAAGTATGCAAATATTAAGAATAGATAAATATAGTAACAAAACGAAACTCACTATAAATATCCGGATAAACTTGTAGTAGACACTTCATTTTGTAGTATTTATTTTTTCTTCAACACAGACTTGCAATTCTTGTATATTTGTTTATAAATAAAATTCTTGTTTAATTGTGTAAATTTTATTATTGAGTTCTATAATTTAAACACTCTTAACGCAGTGCGTTATTTATCGGGGCTTAGCCTTTGAAAACTAACTAAAAAAATTAAAATACTATTCTACTCAATAAATATTGTCTGTATGAACGCTTCGTTTGTTTTCCATAGTTTGGCTGTGGCATTCGCATTTAAGTTCAAGTTCTAGTATTTTTATATAAATAAATAATTGTCATGGTCATTTGGGGGATTTTTTTTACTTGTGGTTAGTTGGTTTGTTTTGTTTGATTTAATGTTGGGCTTCAATAGTTATTGTAGGAAGCAGCGGCAAGTCTTATGTAGTACTTTTTTTTTTTGTTTTGCAGTTTTTTTATATGTTCATTTTACTTAAGTCTTGTATGAGTGAAATTTTCTAAGAAACATTTTTCTTATACAACCGAGATACAAAAAAAAAACCCTTTTCTTAGAAACTTAAAAAAGCAAACGATTAAAACATTATGTGCTTTTAATTGATTTAAATCAAATAATTGTTTTGATTGAAAGGAATGATATTTCTTTGTCTGTAATTATTTAGATATAAAAAAGGGGTTTTTGTAATACAGTTAATAGAAAAAAATAGAAAAATTAAAAAAAATTTTAAATGTTTATTAGTATTTAGTCAGGAAAACGTCAAAAACTTTGAATCATGACTTGATATTTTTTTTTAGAAATTAATCATCTTTAATTTTTTTTTTAAAGAAAAACTACTTTTGAAAAATCACCAAAAAAAATTTGAATTTTCAATGAAAAATAGGATTTTTTCTAAAAAATATAAAAATCATAAATTTCAGTGAAAAATTGGAATTATAGAGAAATATTGGATTTTTAGTGAAATATTGGATTTTTATTCAAAATTCTGATTTTTTTGTGAAATTTTTGATTTTTATCAAAAAGTAGATTTTAAGTGAAAAATTAAATTTTCAGTGATAAATCGGAATTATAGTGGATTTTTAGTGAAATATCGGATTTTTAGTGAAATGCAAAATTTCTATAGAATAGAAAATTTCAGAAATTTCATTCTAGAATCGTATTTATAGTAAAATATCGTATTTTTAGTGAAAAATTAGAATTTTAGTTAAATTTCGATTTTTTTTTTGTAAAAAGTGGTAAAAATTTGAAATTTTTGTGAAAATTTGGAATCTTAGTGAAAATCCGATTTTTCACTAAAAATCCGATATGTCACTATAAATCAGATTTTCTTACTTATATCCAATATTACAATTATAATACCATAATATGCCACTAGAAATTCGATGTTTCGTTTAAAATTAAAATTTTCACTAAAAATTTAAATTTTCACACAAATTCAAATTTAAGTAAAAACAAGTAAGAGTGTTATATTCGGCCATGCCGAATCTTATATACCCACCATCAAATCATCCTTATAAATAAACTTTGATATTATCGATCTATGTTGAATCATATGTCGATATTATTATGAACATCAGGGAAATATTTGGAAGAGGGAATTTAATAAAAGCATGGACCGTGCTCTTCCGAATTAAAAATATTAATTTTGTTTGATCCAATATTTATAACCATAAACTCATACAAAACTTGTTTATGTGAAATTTCATCGCTGTAGTCGCATTTGAGCGTTACAGCCAGTAACGAGCGTTACAGTCACTATCTGAGGGGGACCTTATATGGAGGGTGGGGTCAGTTATAGACCGATCTCCATAAAATGCGATAAATAGTTTTTGGCTAGTACAAAACTTGTTTACGTAGAATTTCACTGTAATAGCATTTTTGAGTCAGTAATGAGCGTTAAAGTAATTTTCCGAAGGGGACCTTATAGGGGGGTATGGTCAATTACAGACTGATTCTCATAAAATTTAGTGAGAGATTGTAGCTAATACGAAAATTGTTCATTTCGTACTCAGTACTCGCAGTTTTAAGCTAGTAATGAGCTTTAAAGTCATTTTCTGAAGGGGACCTTACAAGGGGGATAGGGCTAATTAAGGACCGATCCTTATAAAATTTGATAAAGAACTTTTGGCTCACACAAAACTAGTTTGTGCCTTAAAGTCATTTTCTGAAGGAGACCTTATATGGGGGGTAGGGTCAATTATGGACCCACCCTCATAAAATTTAAGAACATGATTTTAGTTCCTATAAAAATTTTTTATGTAGAATTTTATTGCTATATATATGCACATATGTTTCTTAAAGTCAGATATGAGCATTAAAGTCATTTTATGAAGGGGCCCTTGTATTGGGGGTAGGGTCAATTATGAACCGATCCTTATAAAATTTTACGAAGAGATTTAAATTCTTATAAAACATGTTTGTGCCGAATTTCATCGCTATTGATGCTTTTCTTAGCCAGTCATGGGCGATAAAGTCATTTTCTGAAGAGGACTTTATATGGGGGGTAGGGTCAATTATGGACCGATCCTTATAAAATTATATGAAGAGATTTATGTTCCCATAAAACATGTTTGTGCCGAATTTCACCGCTATTGATGCTTCTCTTAGCCAGTTATGGGCGATAAAGTCATTTTCTGAAGGGGACTTTATATGGGGGGTAGGGTCAATTA